AACGCGTTTCTCAAAATGTCATGATGATCCCCCCTCCAATAGCGCAGTATATATCCCTTGAATAACCAATCAACAAGGGTATTTTTAATGGCTTAAATCATAATCCCTCAATATTAAATGGGATGATCAGCTCCCTTCAATACTTGGTGACTTCATGTGTTCCTGCCCTTCGACTGCCTCAACTTGAAATGCTGTAGTACCTAATCTTTTGCTGTGGCTTTGGAGATATTCCAACTGGCTAAATCCCAGACTGCAGAAAATCTGCTATAAACGGGGATATACCAGCCAGCTAAAACACATTCCGGGTATCAAAACTTGACTATAAGAACCATAATAACCTGCAGTTCCCAAAGAGATAGAAACATATAGAAACATGTTTCCAGGATGTTAGTTCGATGTTTTTCACCTAATTTCCTCAACTTTTCTATCGTCTTGGGGGATTGCTTTGTTGGATGGCGGTTTTTTTTTGCGTGCTTCCCTGGTGAGGCTCATCGTGACAGAGAGCAGATGTGGGATGCCATTGGAAACTTGGTCGCGTTGTGGCTGCGAAACTCAGCCCTGGCAGGGTTTTTCTGATTCGTTGGGGGATGACTTTTTTTCTACCCTTCATATATTGACTGGGGATTAGTTCATAATCCAAGAACCGGGAATCTCGTTCACCAACAAGGATTAAATTGATTAAATGGAATGATAGAGGGATTTTGAACAGTGTTCAACTGGCTTCACCAAGAAATCTGTGGAATTGGAAGCGACTTTTTATATGGCATTTATGATCATTTATGTGGGATAGACAGGTACTGGTATAATCGAGAGGGTATAGTAACAAACAAACGGAATTGTTCATTGGTATCAAGCAAGATTATAGAGGAATTATAGGGAATTAACGAGTACAATACGGTAGGCATTGTAACTATAGGGTTTGTTCATTGGTATAACTCAATGGACAGATCAAGCAAGAATTGTGGTACCCTCTGGTAAATTAACATAACTATGGAAAGATCCACCATGCTATTAATGGGTAAATCGGTAAATCCACTATTTCAATGGCCATTTTCAATAGTTTTTTGTATGTTTACCAGAGGGTATATTCTGGGATCAATACTTGATATACTATGGATCTTGCGGGAGCCCTGCGGAGCCAGGGATCTTTTTAGTGATTCGTATCCCTAAAAAAAAGGGAGCGTTTTAAGGAGCACAGAAATGACCCCAAGAATCAACTGGTACTTTGAATATAACATCATAAAAATATATACTGATTATACTGCGTAAGAATATGATTCTGATGTTTTTGTTTTTCCACCAAAGGAACCAAAACAAAGCACCGGACCATTTATACAGTGAAGCGGCTAATATGAGATTACATCCAATGAAAATGGGATGGAGCCCACAAATATCAACTGTTGGTCAGCTATTTATAACATTTATAACTGCTCGCATGATGCCTCAAATTCAAGGTATCAGAATTTCAGACAGGACAACGATCTTCCACAGCCAGATTACCGGTCACTATGGGAATTTTCTTCGTAGTGACCCAACTTTCTCTGGGTTGATACCCATGGCCTCTTATGGCTATGGACCAATATCCATAAGTACATAATATTCATCATATTCACTATAGATATTGGTCAATAATTTAATGTATAATATAAATGATATATATATATACAATATAACATAACATAATATAATATAATTCCTAATAATTTAAGTCTATATAATATACTATCATCCATAATGTTCATATTCATTCTATTCATCATATGCGAGTTTTCCTCTTAGGATGAACATTCCTTTGAGGAATTAGCAGCTAACCAGCCGGAGCCCATCTCTAAGCTCAGGCCATGTTATTTTTTTTGTAGCGAAAGATACATAATTTTCGGGTCCGTTTTGATAGCTAAGTTGGTTTATCATCAGCCTAGGATTTATGATAATTCTTGATGGATGAATCCATAGTTAGATGATGTTAGATGGTGTTATAAACCAGCTTAAATTGCTCGGGCCGTCCTTGAAGTGGTTTCAAACGTGTTCGATGTTCAGTTCAGATGACATGTTCTTCACGATTCCAGCTGAACCTTCATTTTTACCCAGGATATCCTAATCATTGGTCATTTTCCTGCCATGAAAAAATCGGCCCTGAAAAAATCGGCCATGATGAGGATTCAACCGTCGCCAAAAGAGATAGTCAATTAATTTATGTGCCATAATAGATAGTCAATAGATAGTCAATAGATAGTTTGGCACATAATTGAACCATAACCAATAATAGATAGTCAATAGATAATCAATAATTTCAATTTATGATTGGTTCACTTTTAATTCTTTGGTTAGTTAACACTCCTTGAAATAAGCCCTTCGAACCCCTGTGACATCGCTGCTCAATGTCAGGCCAAGTGCATGTGGAGTTCCAGCATCGCGGCCGGTAGCGGAGGGGGTATGGACCCATTGTGTTTGGATTCCCATTGTGGGATATATATATAATTATTATCTGGGTAAATTATAACGACCTCACTGCTACCTCACTGAAATCATGGCTAATAAGGGAAATCATCCCCAAATGGCCTTAAATATAGTAATTTCCCCAGATATATGACCATAAAACATCATAAAACACTATCATGTGACCATGGCACATATGGCCATTGCATGCTACAGGAAGTTGCCCCTAACCAGGTCAGTTGGTGAACGTAGTACGCTAGGCCAACGGTGGGATTCATGGTGGAGATTGACCAAATTTGTAGCTTCATTCCTGCTCCCAAAAAAACAGGCACAAAAATGGGATAGTTGTTGCTGGTTGTTGCTTCCAATACATGAAAAAGCATGTTTTACCTTCTATGTTGTTTGCATCGCAAATTCAGGATGACACAAATGTACATCAATAGATCAATAGGTTGAGAATGGTTTTGATTGGTCTTCGCCATGGACCCCAAGGCAGATACGCAAGGAGAACGAAGATAGATCCAAGGAGAGGCCGCCAGTTGTTGATGATGAACTAACACAGAGCATCAGATAACTGTTGGCTTTATGGTATATATATACTATACATAATATAGATAGATTATAGATAGATATATCATGGTATTAATCTAGAATGCTTCATTCATGATCATACTGATAGTGATGTTGATGGTTATCAATGGATGTATTTTTTCCAGGAAATTCTGGGTTTACCATCCGCAGTCACTGCGTCCAGAGAGGATGGTCCCACATGCGACGACGCTTAAAATCCATGAATTGAAACGACTCGTGGGCAAAATATGCCATAATCTCATGTTGATCCATGTTTTTTGTTGGCCTTGTTTTTGGTGCTTTTGTTCAGGACCCCCAAAATTTCTGACAGAAGCCAACAAAAATGGGTCTGGAAGATGGTTCCATGATAAATATGATGAATTATATGGTATGTACATCAATCACCATTTTCAATGGGAAAATCCACTATAAATCACCATTTTCAATAGCTATGTTAGTTCACCAGAGGGTACATCCCAAATTCAAGCTGGAGACCCCAAAAATCCATAAAAATCCCAGCAATGGAGTTTCCTGCTCCACCATGCGTGGGAAAAGGAGCTGTCTGACGTACTGGCAGAGGCGACCAGTACGTCGATGGGGTGTCAATTGGTAGACCCAGTCAACCTGAATTTTTCTCGACCACAAAGCCCGCTTATTGGAGTGAGTTCTAAACCAAGCTATCTTGGGGTCCCCACCTTGTTTGGTGTGAACAGTACGGTACCCAGGTTGTGCCTTGCAGCCACTATGGGGCATAACTTATGATCATGATATATCATGGTGAATGGTGGTTTCTATAGTTGTAAAGAGTGGTTAGTAGTATTTTAGATTAATGTGGGTAAAACAAGAAGAAACCATCCCCCAATTCACCATAAATAGGTTCTGTACACCATTCTCAAATGGATGGTTTATTATTGTTTTACCCACATTATATACCATCTGGTTATTTAACATAGCCATGGTATAGATGGCCCATTTATATTATTTATAGATGATTTTCCCAGCTAGAAACCTCCATGTATGGTTGGGATTTTCCATGGCTATGTTAGTCATAGCCAGAGGGTAGAGACAGGCCTGCGACATCTTTCCGGGACTTTTGGGACCCAGCTGGGATGATGGTTTTTTGGAGATAGCCAGCCATGGGGCATAGCAATACGAAAGAACTCTTGGTTTGTTTTCATCGACCATAGTGGATACATTGTGGATACCCTCTGGTAAACTGTTACATAACGAACTGGAAAGATCCACCATGCTATGAAAATGGGTAAATCGACTATTTCAATGGCCATGTTCAATAGTTTTTTTGTTTGTTTACCAGGCCGGCTAGTGCAGCTTCCTTTCTCCCCAATCGTTGGTTCCAACAAGGAGAATCTTTCAGGATAGCTGCAGAGATTCCAACCTTTCAAGCGCGTGTCTCCGCCAAAGCCACAATGGTTTTCAAGCGGCTTGAAGAGATAATGCTAATTAGATCTGTTTGTTGATTCTGGAAGAATCTATCAACTGTTCGATGCACTCGCTCATACCAATTCTCATGGGTTGAAACTCACCCATATGTTGTTTGCTATAGAACCTCATCAACAGGCTGACCTTGGGACATATTTTCGCAGTGGTTTGATCAGGCTTTCAAACCATGATCAGGGGTTGATACCTATAAGGTCTCATAAGAATACCCACAAACATCCGATTGATGCAATACACGATATATGATACATGTACTAAAATGTATTCGAATACAGATAAAACAACCATGTCATTTATTCACTTATTAGGACACAATTTTCAAGCATTTCTCAGCAAGAACTTCACAGCATGTATATATATATTATTATATTATATATATACTGGTTGGTGGTTTGGAACATGGCTTTTATTTTCCCCAATAGTTGGGATGATGATCCAATCTGACGAACTCATATTTTTCAGGGGGGTAGGTATACCACCAATTAGGATATATATATATAGTATATATACTTTGGGTGTTTTTTTGTTGTGAAGTAATGTCCATAGTCGACACGTCTCCTTCATCTCTGGCCAAAAATCATGGTGTCCGGGTCCTCCGGCCACGCCATGGGCGGCTACGCCGCTCCGAAACATGGAGCATGGAGGCAACCAACTGGGCGTTGTGGCTGCGGAACCCACCCCTGGCGTTGATGATTCGTTGGGGGATGACTTTCAAACCCAATATATCCAATAATTATAGGTTTCCAATATAGGGAAATCCAACTGATTGGGGATTTCGATTCATCCAATTTTTTATCCCCCAATTGTAACCAATATTACGATCCTTCAGAAAAATTGGGGATTCTAATCATCCAAGATAAGGAAATCCCGTTCTTAACCAACCAGAATTCAATTGAATGATAGGAGGATTTTGAACACTGCTCAACTGGTGAAACGTAGTTTGGTGCATTTAGCTAGGGACTAATCACTAATCTGTTGTATAGGGATATGATCGGGATCTGTGTTCCAGGATTGGCCATGTTTTGTGATCTGGCAATGGAACACTGGTTGATGGTTTCAAACATCTTTTATTTTCCATTTCATTATATGGGATAATCCTTCCCATTGACTTTCATATTTTTCAGAGGGGTAGGTCAACCACCAACCAGATCATGACCTACCAACTTTGAATCCCTTGAAGGTCATAGCTGTGAATCCCCGGACGTTGGATGGGCTTTAATGGGACATTTTCCAGCCATCCATGTTTGGCTACCAGAACCAGGTGAGGTACCGGCAGGTTCAGATCATTCCAAGAGATTTTCCATAAGTTTTCCATGACGTCCGTCAAAAAAAAGGGTCCTCATCATTGATGTACGAGGCAACATGTGGAGTACTCCAAACAGCAAGCCTGGAGAATGAGTTTCCACAATACGGAGGTTTCCTAAAATCATGGGGGTACCCCATTTATCATCCATATGATTTAGCCCGGATTTTCAATGAAATGATCCATCCAATCATCCATTTTAACAGGATTGTCTATTATAAACATTAATCCCTTCCCCCTAATACTAACACCCCCAAATAATAAACACCTCAGGTAGTTTTTATTATTAGGGTGTATTTATTATTATATAGGGTTCCCCATAATAGTAAATTAAACACACTCATATAAAACACTATTTTGTTCTATTGCAAAATCGATCAGATTTCCTTTGAAAATCTAATTAACATATTGCCAAAAATTGGATTTCGAAGCTTCCCCCTAATAGTAAATTTGAAACACTAATATAAAAAACTATTTTGTTCTATTCAAACTCGATTAGATTTCCTTTACAAATCTAATTGAACTATTGCAAAAAAATATTCCCCCTAATAGAAATTTAAATCCCTAATATAAAAAACTAGTTCGTTCTATTTCAAACTCGATTAGATTTCCTTTTTAATTTTAATTAAAATATTGCCAAACATGGAATTTGAAGCTTTCCCCTAATATTAAATTAAGCGCCTATATTCTAAAATACATGTTTTTTTTCGACCTTAAAAGACGGACCCTAATAAAAACACCCCGCAGTTGACTAGTTCTTATTATTAGGGGATGAAGCCCTGAAATTGTAGCTTCATTTTTAAATTGTTTTCTAAAGGGGATCAATTAAAAATCAAATTGGCCAACCTCAAATTTTCCAAAATTAGAGACGGACCCTCGTTTTTATTAGAGGGGGTTTAGTAGGGGGAAGGGATTATAAACAGTATAAACGATCCAGCTATTGGGGTACCCTCTATTTTTATGGAACCCCCCATATGGATTGCTGGGCTATTCCCAGCCGCAGGTGCTGCGCGTGCGTGTGTCCGCCGTTGGATGCCTAGCAGAAGATCTTAGCGAAAAGATGTTTTGATGATTTGAAATGGAGGTTTTTATTAATAGGAAAATCATCGATATATATATATTATAAATGGAGGTTTTTCCATCGGCAAATCACCTATAGATGAAGGATGATGGAGGGTTTTGATGGCAAAATCACCTATAGATCCTATAGATGGAGGGTTTTGATGGGATTACTTGATTAGCCAGTGGTTAGGAGGGAGCGTTCGGAACGGGTGTTGTTTTTTTCCCCTCTTAAATTAATTTAGGAGCCAAGGAGCTACTAAAAGTTCCCCCAAGTCATATCTCCAATTTGGGGTGGCAACGATGATTATTTCATCTGCATGTTTTTCATATGTTGCTTCAATCCATAGTTGTTCTGAAAGATACCATCCCCCAACACCCTGAAAAGCGCTCATCCCAATTTTGGATATGTGTCCCTCAAGCAACGACTCACCATTGTGGTTGGTTCATTTCTGTTGCAATTTTTGTCTAAATCAATCCAATTACTACAGGAAGCCCCCCCACCCAGTTATCGATTTATGAAAGTTCATGTTATCATAGCTGGTTGGTGGTTTGGAACATTTTTTACTTTCCCATATATTGGGAATAATCATCCCAACTGACTTTCATATTTTTCAGAGGGATTGAAACCACTAACCAGATAGGTTATCCATCTAAATCATCTAACTATATACAGTATTAGATACACACACTATCAATTACCCTTTGGTTATGACTAACATAGCCATGGTATAGATGGCCCTAATCGAAATAGATGGCCCATTAAACATGGTGATTTTCCATGGCAAACTGTTCGTCATAACCAGATGGTAAATCCTTTGCTCGCCGCAGATCGGGTAGATTCGCCACGGGAACCCATGGCCTTTGTCGAAAGCAAGCCGTCAGAGATCGTCAATCACAGTGTATATCATTCAAGGCTAACATAAATGTGTATCACATTGTTTTTTTGTTCCATTTGTATCACAATCATTTCAGATTTCAGATACTATATATATATAAATATACATTCATATGTATAGATATATATATATATATATATACATATTCCATGTTTATCCATGTTCGAAAAAGATATTCTTTTCAGATCATCCACCAGGTCTTCACACTTTTCAAACACGGAACAGCTTGGTGAAGAATCCCTGTTACATCTCCAATGTGAAGTGCCCATAAATCCATATAAATCCCATTGAATCAGCATTAGATCACCATCAAACCATATCAAACATGGTTAAACCATATCAAACATTGTCAAACCATTATATCATCATTATATCACCATTAAATCACCATTAAATCACCATGAAGCCAGCATGTCACCCTGAAAAATCACCGTTGAATCACCCGATGAGATCTTAGGAGGCCAAGAGCTCTTCAACGGCCCATTGGCCAAGAGCAGCACTGCCACTTGGCTTTGTTCGTTAGGAAAATGGGGTATAACGGGGTATATCATGGTATACATATATATATATATAACTAATGGCAATAAATGAGTTGGTTCTTACCCCTATTTTTGCTGTATATACCCTCTGGTTATTTAACATAGCCATGGAAAATGGTCCATTTATAGATGGTTTACCTATTAAAAATTGTGATTTTCCATGGCTATGTTAAATAACCAGATGGTGTATATATATAAGCAATGGCAATAATGGGGTACCTATCTGAGGGATAATTATATTAATATATAAAGATATAGATGATAAGGACACGGGATAATTATAACTAACCAAGAATGGGATATAATGGGCTATATCTAGCTCATGCTGTTACACCTAGCAGTAATGGAATTTAATTTGGGCACATGATGTAAAAATGGATTATTGAACCAACAATTAAGGATTACATGATTACCAGGTGATTATATCTTGGAAAGAAAGGGACATCATGGGATAGAATGGGATACAAACATCTGATATAATGGGATATAACCATCTATTGTGATACAACGGTGCTTATAACTAACCACGAATATGGTATAATTCTGGGGTACCCGGTGATCATCATTGCCATGGCTCGAAATTGCCGAAGACCTGGGACTGGCGAAATCCCAGCAGATTTTATGGATCCAACACAACCACAGTATCCATTGAAACAGGGTCCCAAATGTCGTATCTCTTCTCCAGAAGTCCCAAAAGAAGGGAAACACCCAACACCTATCAGACCTATCAAATTAGTTTTGAAAAACAAAATTGTCAGGTCTCTATCATCCTGTGTGCCATGGTCAAATATTCAATTCTATACCTTTTTGTAAGGAATGGTGATCAATTGTCAAAGGGATTTATACATACCATTTTGTCAAGATTCCCATGGAATGAGATGCATGACCATAAACTATTGGTTACATGGCCATGATATTTCATGATATTCCCATGATATATCCTATTAGTTTTTGTTGCTTAAATCACATGAACCATTTTTGCCATTTTTTGTCGTCACCGATCGTCAGCAATCTTCGAAGGTGGGAAAATTGAAAGAAGAGTCTCTTGGCCAAGCCTTCCAGAAGTGGCGCCGAGAAATGGGGCGTCCCCAGTCGTCACCATGGGTTTCGATAGTTCACATAGTCCTTGAGGTTGGATGATTGGGGGGTCCCATTTTAGAAACCGCCAATTTCACGAGGGTGGCTGTTTTAATAGACTATCTGCTTGGTGGTTTGGAATATTTTTTATTTGTTCCATATATTGGGAATAATCATCCCAATTGACTATATAATCAAGATGGTTAAAACCACCAACCAGCTATATTAGATTATGGTAGACATATCTACAGCAAACATATGGGCAAGAACCAACTCAAAACGGGGGCAGGGCACCTGGTGGTTGGTGTCTTTGTTTCCTTAGGATCTTAGGACATGATAGGACTCATTCCATTCGGGCAGCTCGAGCAGCCAGAATCAGGAACATGCTAGTGAACCTGTTTCCGTATTTTGCAGGTTGATATCCCTGTGATATCCTTATAATGTGGTTAAAACGATAATAAACCATCCCCATAATCACCATAAATGGGTTGTATAAACCATAAAAAATGGTGTGGTTTATCATTGTTTTACCCACATTTCAGTAAAAGTACAGGTTCCATGAGAGATGTTTGGAAGGCGACCAACATCATTTGCAAAGATGCAATCTACAGGTCATGGAGGTAAGCTGGGTGCCTGTGGTGCCTGGTAAGTGTATGTTCAATCCTTGTGAGGTTGGTTTGGAGGCAGAGCGAATATTGACACAAAAACAAACATATATGTAGTTGAACCCAAAATAATCTGGCCTTTGGCATGTCCGATCCCTTCAACTACGTCGAATTTGTCCTTTTTTTGAATGTCACCAGTTTGGGGCCCAAGTTGAAAGCATCAAAAACTCATGAAAATGACCCCAACCTCTGCAGCGCTGGGTTTCTGTTGAGGCTGCTATTGCTTCTGCTTATTCCACGCACAGAGCAAGAGCTGACGTGCGGCCAGTTGGTAGAGGCGGCGGCGCCTAGTTGGACACTTTGGATGGGCGTTTCGCAAAGAGTTCTGGATCATGATGATATATTTATATAGTTCCATTTAGATTATGATGATGATATTAATGGTTTCCAATGATATATGTATACCATTCAATATCTGAAGATACATAGATGCATAATGATGCATACATAACATTACCCACAGACGCCGCGTGTTGCCCAGACATTAACATTTTTTGGATGTTGTGTTGTTGAATAAGAGAGGAGATGATAGGAGAGATTGCAGAACATACTGCATATACACACAAGAGTTTTCTGGTTTAGGATTCAAAGTTTTCAGGGTTTAGGTTTTAGGGTTTAGGGATTAAAGTTTTAGGGTTTTAGGTTTTAGTTTTTTGGGGTTTAGGATTTAGGGTTTAGGGCTCATCGTCTGGGAAATCTCAAAACACTGGCCCTACGCAGGTGTTTGAGCATGTTGAAGGATAATGCTTAAACGCCATGTGAACTTTCCGGGCAACACGCAACGCCTGGCCGTAACATTACGTTGCGGTAGATTACGTGACGTTGCATTACATGACATAATATTACATATATATAATATAGAATTATATATATATACATACATATACACATACGAGAACATAGGGGGTCATGAGGTAGGAGTGTCCTTTCATATAGCCTAATCCCTTGACTGCGCTTCAGTTGGAAGCTGTGGGGATGATTATATGAGATTAGATAATGATTGTTGATTATGAGTCTATGAGTGATTATCATGAAAATGTTCATGATGAAAATATCATTAATGATATCATATGATATCATGATATTCCAACATTAATCATATTATATATATGGTTATACTTGTTGACCGATGACTGGGACTTTTTTCTACCCATCGGAAGATTAGTTTGGAATGATCATCCAGAGGGAATCCCCTATATGGACCATCAAATTGGGGGCTGCGGACGATGTCATCGATGTTTCGTCTTCTCATGAATATTAAGCATCCAAATTTTGTGGCAACCAATTTTGACCCATAAAATTGGATGATCAAGATTTTTCCATATTTTTCCATATCATCTAGAATCAATCATCCTCAATCATACTCATATTGTCTCATTATTGTGGATGATTGATCGCAAGCAAACTTGGCCGACCAAGCAGTTTTTCTGGTTGATTTGACAAGCTGAGGTCCCACATGTCCCACTGGTTGGTTGATTAAGAGAGGCTTCCCCCCATGAAAATACAGCCAAGAGATGATATTGAAAAATATACCCTCTGGTAAACAACATAGCTATTGAAAATGGCCATTTATAGTGAGTTTTCCCATTAAGAATTGTGATTTTCCATAGTTATGGTAGTTTACCAGAGGGTATACCAAACTGGCCACTCTTACGGACAGGACAATATTGGTTGGGATTTAAAAATTTGAAGCTGTAGCCAGAATTAGCCAGATAGGCTCAGATAGTATATATCCTGTGTGTTCCATCGTTTGAACGCCACTCACCACTCGGTCACATAGACTCTTTTCAGGATGATGACATCACTTTGCAGGCTCTCTATGACTTGAAGCAGGATGGGGGTTGGTCAGAATTATCCATCAGACAACCGACAAGGAACTCTCAAGTGGCATTGGGTATTTGACAGAGTAAAACCATCTCCAAGAATTAGGGGGAACCTACCAAATCCAAATCCCATGTCTTAATCATCACTTTCAACATTTAAACAGTGAAATGACCACGTGTGTGTGTGTGTTTCAGTAGCAATGAGCTTGTCGTCCAAAGGCACACCCCAACTAGAGACTGCCGTTGTTGCTCAGTTGTGACAAATGGCAGCTGGATGCAGATTTTGGCGATGACGGCCCCCCATTTCTTGAAGGGTGGATACGGTGAGCTGAGTCTGAATGTTTGACCAAACATCAAGCCTCATGTCAAGCTTCAGGTCTGATATATGTCAACATATTTCGTGGTTTCCACATTCATGGAGGTACCCCAAAAAATTCGCTGGATGGTTTATAAATGTTTATAAGGGAAAATCGCATCTATAAATGGATGATTTAGGGTTACACCCTATGTCAGGAAATGCACATATGTCAACCGCTTCCCTTGCAGGAAGAGACAGACTTGTATGGCATGCTGCAAGCGCTTCACCCTGTTCACCCTGCGACCAGGACGGGTCTGGGAGGTCCCAAAGCCTAATTTAGGTTTGGAACATATTGAATTTAATGTGCAAACACATATCATCTATAGAATCTATTCAATATAGTTCTTGTTTGGTTGAATTAGATTGAAGATTCAATGCTAGTCTTTAGTATCGTGCTTTTTTGCTCTCTGAACATCATTCGCTCTACGAATTCCCATGTCTGAGAGACAACCATTTCCAGTTATGTCAAACTTTTTTAAAAATCTGGTTCACGGGCAGAAATTAATCTGGTTGGTGGTTTGGAACATTTTATATTTTCCATTTCATATATGGGATGTCATCCCAACCAAGGTGTTGGCTCAGGTATCGCCTAGGTGTGACCTCCGCTCTCCACCTTAGCGGTGTTGTGTTTTCTCACACACCGCGGGCTCCGTTGCCTTTCGCCATTTGCGCCCTACCACGTGTGGTCTGGCTGTCATTCGATTGACCCACAACACGGTGGTACATTACAGGTATTGGTCGCTGGAAGAACCTGTGCTTGTGGTATTGACTTGGTCTACCATATCTATCCACTCTTCTTTCTTGCGACAGGGGTGAGCTCCCTTATTTTCACTGACTGGCTCATTTCGTGGATGTGTTCGATCGTTGCAATTTTGGCTTCCTTCTTTATTACATTCATTTTGGCCTGCGATTTTGTGGATTTGTGTCCGTTGACAATTTACAACAGTTTGGAAAACCACGACTACTCAAACGCAGAGAAGGGCTGCAAGAAGACAAAGGTCCACAGCCCGCCGAGACTGGTTTCTCCACCGAAGGCACATACGTCCTCTACCTCATTGGAGGCTTGCTCAGATCGTGAAAGTCCTCAGGGGACATCATTCAAAGGATCCCATTTTCCTTGCCAAAATCAAAAGCGAGATGAATGTATCAGCAGCAGAACCATGGAAATGCACCTCCTGCAAAAGGATCTGCAGTGGACGCCACGAATTTTGTGGCAAATGTGGACAGGATTGGCAATCATGTGCCGATCCCAATTTTGTGCAGCCAAAGCGTCAGAACAACAACAGACAGGTTCAGTGGAATTATTCCCAGCCCTGGCAGGAAGCCAGCCATTGGGAAGACTCGCAATGGACAATGTCACCCAGACGTCGCCAATCGCCCAGGCCAAGATCCAAAAGAAAGAACAACTTGGCCAATTCCAAAGGACGCGGCAAGTCAAAGGCGCCTGCAGAAGATTCTGCACAATTTGGACCGCCATCAGCACCATCATTGGCTTCCCTGGAGCCACCCTGGATGAGTTCAGCACCAGCTCCGGGATCTGCGATGACATTACCAACAAGTGCTTCTCCGCAGGAACAGAAGGAAGATCCCAGCAAAGACAAGCAATACAAATCATTGCTGGCAGCTCTGAGACGACACAAGGAGGATTTACCCGACGACGTTCAACTCCTGATGAAAGAAGTCAATGTCCGAACGGGACAAGAACAAACGAAGCTACTGCACTCAGCCGTCACACAGCACGGAAGAGCGAAAAAAGAACTGGAAGAGGCACAGCTGGCTCGTTTCAACATGCACATGGCATGGCGCAACTTCCTAGCTGCTTCGGTTCAACAGTGGCAACGTTATTCTACCCAATTCATGGACCAGGAGAAGACGCTCACGGAACGACTGCAGACGGCAATGGAAAATCTGGCAGTTGCCAAATCCAACCTTTCTTCCTGCCAGTTTACGGCTGGTGTGGACACCAAGGACGACACTGCAGCGCCCAGCGACATGGAGGATGTGGAGACGAAAGTCTTAGAAACCTCTGCAGGGAAGCGCATTGCAGAGAGCTTCAAAGATCTCAGCACCAACCTCCAAGCCCTTCATTCCCAAGCAGAACAAGCTGTCCAACTGGAAGCAGAGCAACAAGACCAGTTCAAAAAGCGTCAACGGATCAACCCGCCAGACGACCTGCATGGAGAACGCAAAGCAGAAGAACCCCCTTTAGCCAAGGCCGAGTGAATACAGCCTGTTCTGGTATTGCTCCATGGCCAAGCGATGGCATTGGGACAAACGATTGCTCATCAAAGTGGACCCTGGGTAGCCATCATTGCCTGCCGAATTTTGTACAAAATTTTGACCAGTGCAGATCTTCGAAGAAGGATCGCACTGATTTGTCCTTTCATGCAGACATTTTGGAACTCCCAGCTCATTGCCCACTTACATGGAATCATTCTGTGGTTGGCGAAACCGATTTTGTAGACCCATGGACTGCCATGGACGCAGCCTTCCATCTGAGTGCTGAGGTTTCCTTTGACAGATGTTTCCGACATGATTCATGCACCCGCCCATGGAATTTGATGCAACATCCTGGACCGTTTCCAGCGCACAAGACCGGTAGTGTCTCTTTTGCCGAGACAGTTGAGATTCTGATAGGAATGGATGATGAACATCTTTTCAACTCTATCATGGTCCCACTTGAATCGCTTGAGTGTTGCAGCAAGCCCTGGAAGCTAACCTATTGCTTTGACACTGAAACATGCCATAAACATTTAACTCCAGGTACTGCAGCCACGGACAGGTTTCAATCCGAAGAGCTTGAGCCTGCCATTGTTCCTGGTTGTTCTGTTTTGGGCCAATTCACGTTGCGTAACATCACAAGACGTCATGGTTTCATTTCATGCAATTGGGTTTCACCTCGAATTTCAAGAAGATACAATTTCCGAAGAAGAAAGTGTCCGTTTGTTGAGACCCCATTTCCTTTCTGGACCGATTCATGTCCTACCAGGGATGGTTTCGCATTTCACAGCCCTGGGAAACCAACCGACCATCAAAATCGTGGTGTAGGAGCACTTGATGCAAGGAGGGTTGGTTCCTCAATGTCTGACATGAGGACACCACTGGCTGACCCTGTCTGTGCTCCTTGCGTGAAAGCAGACAGATTCCAAGCTGCCATTGCTCAGTCTAGGCGTGATCATGAAAGCCCCATCGTCTGGGATCCCGGTGCACCAGGTCCACAAGAGGATGATGAAGATGCAGATGATTTGAACCAATTTGATCATCAGGTTCCACCTGCATTTGTCAATGACTTGGCCCATCGCCTTGTACGACTAGGCTTCGACCCAGAAGACCGAGACTTTGAGGTTCCGGTGCGCACATGGTATCTGGATCACCAAACAGTCAGACGTTGGACCGCACCTAGGGTCCTCCAATTAGTTGGGCCACCACCAGGCTGGGAGATGCAATTTTCCTCACTCTGGATTGATCAAATTGACCCAGATGAATGGTTTGATTTGACTATCATCACGCCTGACCCTCCAAGACAGGCTCACCAAAGGTTCATTGTATTGGACATCATTGTGACCCAGTCGCTTGACCTTCCAAGAATGGCGGGCCTTGTCACTATTACACCAGAAGACCGTTTGAGTTTTGATCTCTTCTCAGTCGCATGTTCGTTTGAGGAACACATCAGTGGCTTTGATATTATTTCTGCAGCTGACATTCAGGGCATCTGCCGACATCAGGTCTGCAGAATCACCTTCGGCTGGCAAGAAATTCAAAACACTCTGAGACCAACGCATGATACCAGTCATGGAGATGGGTTCCAGGTGCTAGTCCGAAACACCATGGCTCCCCTTGCACAGGCCAGCAGTTCATCTGATGACCCTCCTGGCACATCAATGGCTTCCAGCAGTCATCAGTGGCCTGCTCCCGCTGCAACTGCTGATGCAAATGTGTCCATGTCGAGCACTGTCGACACTGTGGTACCATCCTCAAGTACAAGCAGATTCACGACGGCACTGCACCTTTTTCAGCTTCATGGACAGGAAGTTGTGATGCAGTTGGTGAATGCACAACTTGCACAGCCTTCGCACGACATGGCAGAAGCGCTCAATGTACCATTTAATTGCATCGAGGCAGTCTATCCAATCCCGGCAAGACTGGTTGACTTTCCTGAGATGGCGATCCCGGCAATTGTACAAAGAACCGGTGACATCCCACGTCGCTCCACGGATAGGCTCATTTTGATTGATGTCAGGTATATCTATGCACAAGATACATCAGGCAATACCCCCGAGCCCACTACGATCAGGAATGTTTACAGGATTGGATATCAAGTCATCAGGTCCCATCTCCTTTTGACCGCAGGTGTATTCCATTATTGTCAGTACTTCGATGATCAGTGTTCCCTTTCACTCGATGGCGTTGAATGGAGTCATCAAGACCATGCCTCCAGACCGGTTAGGCATGGCTCATATGTACTCATTATTGTACCACCATATCCAGACTCAACGCTTGACACAAGAGTTGCAGCAGAAACTCTCCACAATGATGTACGAGATGATACATTCATGGATTTCCTCGCAGACAATTCGGAGGAAGATGATGATCATTCTCTCCTTCACTTGTCACGTTCATCACCGGCTGATGATTGGGTTCTTTCAAGGTTCATTCAGGCATCTGGTGTTGACAAGCTTGACGAAGCATGCCTACCTTCTTTTCACCAGCACGGTGACAGAAGTGTGCAACGTGCTGAGGCAATGCAACCCGGCACTGACCCGCACGCTCAATGCCACCAGGAGTTGTGTAAACCAAGTGAGCAGCCGAAGATACCTTCACCCAGTGACAAAGCATGCAAAAAAAGGACCACTGATGTTTTTGAAAAACCTGTCAGGAAGGACAGACGGCCATCCAGCAAAGTAACCCATCACCGGCAGGGCACCCAGACCAAGATAGGTGATTTCTTTTCTAGCACGCAGTCACAACAAGCTCAGCCGGCTACGAAGAAATCTCAAACATTTATCACCAGTTTCTTTCGCCAGATTGAGTCCAAGGATCACCTGAACGATGTTTCATCTCACCTTGACGGTGACATTGTGCCTAGGGGAGATGTCACGGAAGATGTGTCCGAACACGATGATGCCTGCAGGCCGTGTACAAATGCATTGACACGTCAGCAACGCTGCTCGGATCAGCAAACAACCGATGCTCCTGATTTCCAGGTCCCAATACCAGCTCAGATCCCGCTCCAAGGAAACGACAGAA